CGAGTGCAGATCGAATGGACAGGAAATATTGGGGGGCTGAATAGCACTGGCTGGCAACTAACTATTGAGACAAATATGTCAGGCTAGCAACTAGTGAATATATTTAACTAGGAAAACGCGCATTTTTCTATACACCGCAAATGCATATCGATAATGACACCATGATAAACGTTGTTATAATTATGTACAAGTTAGAAAAAAGTTAATCGATCATATATTTATATATATATATATATTATATATACATCACGGGCTACAATATGGATCGCGCGTTACTATAAAACTGATCGCTACGATATAGCCTACGCTATCTACGCCGGGAAGCAGGTATACATGCACAGCTGTGACATTGACGAGTATACACGCTCGCGCTGCCTCTCCGCGACCACATCTGATTGGTTCGCGCCGGGAAATAGCAGACGACAACGACGATGGAGTGATCGGTGGAAGATGCGAGATTGCTGCGTGCACTCGAGATTCAGAGGCTCTGCTGTCTCAGATCGAGATGCCTCAGATGCTGTCTCAGCAGATGCCTCAGATGCTGTCTCACCTTCGATGCTGCCTCCCATGTCTCAATGGATGCCTCAGATGATGCCTCAGATGCTGTCTCAGCAGATGCCTCAGATGCTGTCTCAGCAGATGCCTCAGATGCTGTCTCAGCAGATGCCTCAGATGCTGTCTCAGATCGAGATGCCTCAGATGCTGTCTCAGCAGATGCCTCAGATGCTGTCTCAGATCGAGATGCCTCAGATGCTGTCTCAGCAGATGCCTCAGATGCTGTCTCAGCAGATGCCTCAGATGCTGTCTCACCTTCGATGCTGCCTCCCATGTCTCAATGGATGCCTCAGATGATGTCTCAGATGCTGTTTCAGCCGATGCCTCCCACGCTGTCTCGGTTGGCGAATGTCACTGCCTCGGCAATTACAGGGGAATCTATGCGAGGTCAGGACCCAACACTAGACCACCTACTCGCTCTAACACACGGCAGACGACAACTCCAGACGCACACGTTACATCGACGTTACGTTGCCTTGACCACCACGTGTGAGGCGAAGTCAAGAACAGCACTGCAGTTCATGCGCACGCGCGTGGCCATAAGCAGTGTAGCTCACAGACACGAGCCTGAACGATTAAGCAACAAAGTACACACGTGTACACTTGATTAATTACATGCACGTGCACATAATTAATTAAGGGAGTGGCGAGGATGCGGGATCGTTAGCGATAATTAACGG